AAATGAATAAATAAAGTAAATATAATTAAATCAAATGACAAGGGTAAACAAAAGATCCTGTTCACAATTTGTGCAAAGATTTAAAAGGTCCTCTCTTTTTGGAAAATATAAGTCTGATTTTACCTCATAAAGTCCTCGTCTGACAAACTCAGTCCTCACTGTGTCAGAATGGATGTCAGCAGGGTTAGTAGTAGGAGTAGTTTATTTTTCCTGTAATACTTCATTGTTTTTTTAAGACAAAGCTAATTGAAAGGGGCGCTGAGCAGAGTTACAACYAGGGATTGCAATTTTTTTCTTCTGCAGTTCGGCGCCCCCTCCAGCAGATGGCGATCTAGGCGACCGCCTAGTTCGCCTATGCCAAGAGCCGGCTCTGATTCAGACCAAATATTTATGTATTATTGTAACCAATAAGACAAATTAAGTCATATATATGGATTTCATTATGATATCAGAATGATCCAGGTATGAAAATATAGCTTTTAAAGCCATTAATTTGAAAATGTAATTATTTTGACCAAATTTGACTTAATCCTCATTTTAATCTGATGGGTCACATATGATTTGGATGTTCATTTGACATATTACAAAACTGTTTTTTCTGGCAGGAGTCACATTCATGAAGCACATTTCAGGTTTTGAGCTACAATGGTCCAGGGGACGATGTGACTGCTGAGATAAGAGCAGCAGGCAGCTGAGGGATGGAGAGCCGAGGCTGCCTGAGTATCAGGAACCATTCGCCTCGCTCTTCTCTTCTATGGTTTTGTCTCATAGCAGTGAAGTTAACGTTAATTCGCTCATGCCTGAATAAACCGTGGGGTCATTATGGCCACAGCCAAGCCTCTCAGAGTGCTTAACAATAGCAAACAGCGTGTCAAGAACAAACACCGCCAGGCCACAAACGGCAGCATGTTTGATGGAAGTGTTTCTTATACTTATGTTTCAACACTTAACCGGTTTTGCGATTTTATCTCCAATAAAAGCTTGATGAATTGATATATTTATAACCGTCGTCTATTGTACAGGAGGTCTCACGCTGTTATTATTGGGATAAACAGAGTCTGTCAACAATCGTCTATTAATAAAGTCTCACTCCTTTTCACCATTAGTTTTGTTTATCGTTTGGATGAATCAGAATTAGAATACTTTATTATTCCCGAGAAAGTATAGACACTGGAGAAAATCAAAATAAACACACTTTTAGACATAAGCAGCATCGAATAAAACACAAATCTAAACAAAAATACGGTTAGGTGAAAAAGGTAAAACAAGCCACTCAGAGATCGTTTATTGAGAAGAGGCCTCACTCCCGTTCTTTGCACTTCAAGCACTTTTTGTCGCCTTGCTGCTGAAAAAGTGCTAAATAAATAAATCTTACCTTTGGTTTGATTTCACAATAGCTGGAGGGTCTTCACTTATTTATAAATATATGTGAATTAGGGGTGTAAGAAAATATCGATACACTGAAATATCGCGATATTTCA